ATGAGGACAGAGCAGTACCTGTATTGGGGATAAAACGTGAGTGGGCATTTTATACATTTAATAAAGGAGACCTTAATCTCAATACTACACTATGGAGGATTTCTTTCTCACTCACCGTGAGTGTGGGTGAGAATTATATTCAGCAGATTGATCCATCCTGAGAGGCCTGGAGTATTATTCAGAGGAACTACAGGTGAACTACTGCCAGTCAGGTTTGGAGTAGGATCCAGGTGTGATCCTGAAAGCGAAGTGGCCCATTGGGTCGATGAAAGGAGGTGAGGAGGCATTTTAGCCAGTGTGGATAAAGTGTGCTGACACTGTTCACGGATTATCGTCACCATTGGCACGTTGCATGATTTTTAGGATTTTGAAGCACTTATGATCTGATCATTTATGGACTTTTTTTGGAATTTATCTATTTATTGCTGTGTTTTTTTCATGTTTGCACCAATCACAGTGTAGATACCCCCTGGTTTGAGGGGTTCGTGTCTAGTTGCTTTATAATCCTTTTATATTCAAATATTTTTATTGAAAGGTTTTTGAACATACAGAAAAGAATAAACAGGGTAAATGAGGATATCAAGTTCACTTAGGAAAGCATAGTACACACAAACAAACATAGATATGCGTGAAGGATCCCCACCGATAGGCCGGGGATTTTTTAGAATCCAGGTGTTACATGAGAGGTATGCTCATTGTCGAGTGAACTTTCTCGAGGTAACTAGGTTTAATTGAAGAAGAGATATGATGAATTGGAATAGGGGGGGAAGAAACAGGAGGGGGCGGCACAAAAGAATACTTGTTTTTTTTTTTTTTTTTTTATATATATAAGATCGGGTCGAAGTAGTAATCATTTTACGGAGCAGTTTGGGTGTTTCAACCATCGAGACCATTGAGCTGTAAATTTATGGGAAGATGAGTTGTGGGAGGCTATTCTTCTTTCCATTTCACATTGGAGATTTAGGTCTAGAAAGAGGCGAGACAGGAGGGGGGTAGTATTAGAGCGCCATAATCTGGTAATGTTGGTTTTTGCAGCTGCTAAGGTATGTAGAATAATGGTCCGTGAATTTATGGGGAATTTATCTATGCCAATATGTAGGAGAGCTAAAGCGGGGTTTGGAGTAATTGACGTATCTGTAATTGAGGATAGTATGGTAAAGACTTTGTTCCAGTAAGATTTAATTGACTTACAGTTCCAAAGTATATGAAAAAGTGAACCAGCCTCACCACAATGTCTCCAGCAAGCTTGCGAGTGTTGTGGGTAAAATAATGATAGTTTAGTAGGGGTCAGATACCATTCGTGTAGGATTTTTAGATAAGTTTCCCAGTGGGAGGAACATTTCGAGGCTTTGTAGGTAATAGTGAATGTTTTTTCCCATAAATCAGGGGAAAAGGATTTGATGTAAGTTTCTCTCCCAGTTGGTTAAGGAAGACGTGTACGTTGTGAATTGCTTTTCAATTATAAAGGTGTAGAATGCGGAAATTCCTTTCCTTGGGTAGGTGGTTCTATGAAAGAAATGATTGACCGGCGCAGGGATTTCCAAGGTAAGTGGGATATTAGTTTTACAGAGCGCATGGGCTATGCGGATATAAGTAAATTGTTCGTTGTCCGGAAGGTGGAATTTTTTTTGGATGACGTGGAAGGAATCTAGTGTATTAGAGGTGTATATGTCTTGAATATGGAGTATGCCAAGGGCCGTCCATATTTTTAAGTTTAAGTTGGGAATGAGGTGGAGAAGAGATGATAGTGGGGTAAGAATTGGACATTATGGTTCCCCGGTTTGTTTATATTCAATAAAGTCATACCAGGCTTTTAAGGAGGCCTTGATACATGGATGTTTGTGGTGCGTTGGAGTATAAACAGTACGGGGTAGAAACAGTGTGTCCGTTAAAACATGTGGGTGGTACAAAGATGTTTCCATGGTGGTCCAAATTTTTTCAGGGGAAGGGTGCCACCAGAAGAAGAGCTGGTCCAGTAGGACAGCTTGGTAGTAGGATTTCACGTGTGGAAGGCCTGCTCCCCCCCTCTGGAGGTAGGGCATATTAGTAGATTCGTAGTGCATCTAGGTTTTTTTAAGTTCCATAAGAATTTATTTAAAATCGCCTGGAGTTTGGTGAAATAAGAGTAGGGGACTGGAATAGGTAGTGTTCGAAAGACGTAAAGTATTTTAGGGAGTATACACATTTTTAGGGTTGCTATTCTACCTAGTGTCGATTTAGTAGTGCGAAGGCTATTGAGTTCTTGTGGAATAGATTCAAGAAGCGGTCTGTAATTAACCGTGTAGAGTTGGCTAGTGTTGGCAGTGAGTTTAATCCCAAATATGGGATACTGTAGTTTTCCCAAGTAAAGGGGAACTGTTTAGAAAGTAATTCTTGGGTGATAGGTGGCGTGAATAGATTTAAAATTGATGATTTAGGTTCATTAAGTTTATAGTATGAAACCGCTGAATAATCACTAATATGTGTACGTATCGTCTGAAGAGATCCATATGGATTCGTGACTATCAGTATGATGTCAACTGCAAAGAGACTAATTTTATGTTCAGTAGATTGATATTTGACTCCCGTGAACTTTGGGTCGTTTCTGAGCTTGGTCGCTAGCGGTTCTATTAGTAAGGCGAAAATTAGGGGGGATAAGGGGCACCCTTGTCTGGTTCCATTGGAGATGGAGAAGGGTTTTGAAAGTGTGCCATTAGTTAAGACTCTAGCAGACGGTTGAGAGTAAAGGGCGAGAATCGCAGATAGTATCCAACCAGTAATGCCAAATTTTTGTAGTGTAAGTGTCATGAATTGCCAGTGAATCCTATCGAAAGCCTTTTCCGCATCTAGTGATAAAAGGAGAGAGGGACGTCTATCAGTTTCTAGATGGTGCAGAAGAGATATTATTCGTCTGGTAGCATCTGGGGCCTGTCTTCCGGGTATAAAACCAACTTGATCTGGGTGTATCAGTTTAGGCAGATAAGGGAACAGTCGTTGGGCAATTAATTTGGCGTATATTTTAATGTCTGTGTTGATTAGTGAGATCGGCCTATAATCTTGAGTGAGTTGTGGGTCTTTACCCGGTTTCGGGATAGTGGTGATTATCGACTGCAACATGTCAGAAGGAAATTTACCGTTAGATGCAGCATGATTAAACAGGGCAGATAGATGCGTCTTAAGGTCAGGTGCAAATGTTTTGTAGTATTCATTAGTGAATCCGTCATTTCCTGGCGATTTGTTTAGAGGTAAGGTAGAGATAATTTTTTCAATTTCTGCCGATGAGAATGGCGCCGATAGAGATTCTAGTTGAGAGGGTGTGATATGGGCGAGATTAGAGTTATGTAGGAAACTTTCTATAGTGGAAATTGTGGGTTGAGTTGTATTTGGGTCATCTTTTATATTATATAACTTTTGATAGTATGTTGCAAAAGCATTGGCTATATCTTGTGGGTTCGTAAGAGGTGAGCGCGTGGTCGGGTGTTGTAGCGTAGAAATTTTTGTCTTGAGTCGTTTTTGTTTAATGATCTTAGCAAGAAGAGAACTTGCTTTATTACCTAATGCATAAAATTTGGTCTTCGTTTTTTGGAGATTGGTGTCATATGAGTGGAGTAAAAGGTTGCGCAGTTCATTTCTTTCTCGGTTTAGAGTCGCGGAGGTGGTGGCATTAGGGTTAATTTTGTTGAGTTCTTCATTAAGTTTAATGGAAGTTAAAAGTTGGTCAATTTGTTGGGAGCGCCGTTTTTTTATACGCGAGTTTAATTGTATGAGGATACCTCTCATGTAAGCCTTATATGTTTGCCAGAGTGTGGTGATTGAAATGTCCAGAGTGGTGTTGGTATCAAAAAATAGATTGTGAGCTTCTAAAATATGCTTCTGGTTATCCGGGAATTTTAGGAGTGGCGAATTAAGTCTCCAGATCGGCGGAAGTGCCGAGCGTCTATCATCATCTAGGGATAGGCTGATTGGAGCATGATCTGACCAAGAAATGATGCCAATGTTCGATGTGGTCGCTTGTTGTAGTGTCCATTAATCGGTGATAAACATATCTATCCTTGAGTAGGATAGATGTGCAGGGGAGTAGTAAGTGTAGTCTCTTTCGGAGCCATGGTGGCATCTCCAGATGTCATATAAGTCGTGGTCATGTAGAAATTGATTAAAGGTATATTTAGTAGGTTGTTTCTTAGAGGAGGAATCAACAAGTGGGTTGCTCATTATGTTGAGATCTCCGCCAATTATGAGTCTGCCTTGTTTCTGGGAAGAGATAGTTTTGTATAATTTCCGATAAAATTGGACTTGGTTGTTCGGGCCATAGATATTCACCAGTGTGTGAGTTATGTCATTAACCGTTTCAATACCGTGCAATTTTACACCTTCCTGCCCAGGCCAGTTTTCAGGTTTCAGCGCTCTCACATTTTGAATGACAATTGCGCGGTCATACAACATTGTACCCAAACTAAAATTTGATCATTTTCTTCACACAACTAGAGCTTTCTTTTGGTGGTATTTAATCACCACTGGGGTTTTTATTTTTTGCTAAATTAACAAAAAAAGACCAAAAATTTTGAAAAAAAAACCACATTTTTCTTTGTTTCTGTTATAAAAGTTTACAAATAAATAATTGTTCTTCATAAATTTAGGCCCAGATGTATTCTGCTACATGTCTTTGGTGAAAATAACCCAAATTAGGATGTATTTTTTAGTTTGTAGGAAAGTTATAGAGTTCACAAACTATGGTATAGATCTGAATATTGATCAATCCTGAAGTAATGACAGCCAATCTAATATCTTGAGGTCCAAGAATGTCAGAACAGTACAGATATCCCCCAAATTACCCCTTTTTGCAGAGTAGACAGTCCGACGTACTTCATAAGAGGCATGGAGAGTTTTTTGAAGTTGTATTTTTTTGTCATAATTTTTCGGAAAATGAAAAAATTAAAAAAATTATTTTCACTATTTTTTTTTTTACATACTGTCACCAGTGCAGTACAGCGTCATCATATAACTGGCATGGCAGTGAACAGCGACACTGACTGGTGACAGTATGAAAAAAAAAAATATATAAATTTTTTTTATTTTTTTTTTATTTTTTTATTATATTTAATTTTTTATTACATTTTTTTTATTTTTTTTAAGATTTTTTTTCATAATTTACTATGACCAAAATAGTACAATGTTACCATAGTAACACTGTACTACTTTGGGGAAGTGATCAGTATTTTTTTTTTTTTTTTTTTACACAATTTGCTTATAGCAAAGAATTACTTTGCTATAAGCAAGCATTTACCTGAATGAAATCGATTCAGTCAGCTTTTTTTTTTTTTTTTTTTTTTTTGTGCTTAGCTGTGATTTGGTCACAGCTAATCACATGACATGTGCATGTGATTAGCTGTGACCATTCACAGCTAGGCACTAGTATACAATGGATGGCATCATGAATGAAGCCATCCATTGTATACAACTGTCATGTGACCTGCTGTGATTGGTCACAGCAGGTCACATGGTACCGGCAACGGGAGCCGGTACTCAGATCTGTCATCGGCCGTGTCCGAGGTGCACGGGCGGTGACAGATCGCACTGCTGCGTCGCTCTGCAAACGCGCGCAAACCGCGCATGTGCGGGAGCATTGTTTGGGCACAGTACGCACGTTTATTGAATTATCAATTATATATTGGGGCACATTATATATTTTTAGCACTATTTTGGTATTTATTTAATATTTTCAGCGCTGCACTATTTTTGAGAAGTAATGGACTGATTCATAGCTGACCTTGTTAGCAATCTTTAACATAATGTCAGAGCTCCAAGCCTAAGCCTGATCAAAAAATTCTATTTGGCTCTTGTCTATTTGCACCAGTTTGTCTTACCCTCCTGATTTTGTGTGTTTGTACTGTGTACTCATACCTGCCTGAAACTCCAAATCTGTTTTTTTTTGCTGTTAGTCTGCTGTCTGTGATACTTGGACCACCTGTCTGGAACCTGCACCAATCCAATCCATCATCTTCCTGGCTGCTCATTGGATTTCATTGCCAGACTCTTCATGATTTGCACCCTGCAGGGTTATCTGCCTAACATCTATCTATCCTTACACACCTTTAAAGCTGAACTTTATGCAGCTATAAAAACACTTCAGTGCAGTCCTGTATTCCTGGATACACCTTTAAATTTATTTTTTAAAGCAATCAGTGTAAGTATCTAATTTGACCTGACATCATCCTCTTGCAGTTCTATTGAGAAGAGCTTGAAGAGGAAGAGGGAAATGCAACACAAGTGTGCTTTCAAGGGGCATGATGATATAAGGAGAGAGCAGAGTGACAGAGAATTATCATTATTCTATATAAAATTTGGTCCTGAGAACCAACAATATGTGATAATGGGGCCGAACTGATAGGTACCACCACTTTTACCATTCACCAACAATATGTGATAATGGGGCCGAACTGATAGGTACCACCACTTTTACCATTCACCGGTGGGTGTCATGGCAAAAAAAAAAACAATACAAAACCGAAAATTAGAAAAAAAGAAACATGGAACATGATACCTTCTTATGCTTACCAAATCAAACTCTATTAAAAAACTATTAAAAAACAATATAGGATTATAAAAATATGTGGCATCCCATGTGTGCACAGGTAGCCCCAAAGTTATATTTATATTATAGCTGGGTGGGGCAGGGTGTTTAGGGGGTTTATAAACTGCTAAACACGGTGTGTTTGTGCATTGGACTATATTTTTCATGCACAAGCATATCACCTAAAACTATTTTTTAAAGTGTATTATTGATGATTATCTTGAAAGTTTATTTTCCTTACTAGCACCAATTTATTTAGGTGAAGTAGAAAAGCTGGGGGACAGCAGAGGCTTTTTTTTTTAACAAAGGATGATCTACATTGTTAAACACAGAAGTATGTAAGAGGGTGTTCTGAAATGACATCATTGCATAGACTCTTAAATAACTGACAGCCTAAAGTATGTCTCTGATAGAAAAAGAAAATGGTAACGAATAAAGTGTATTCGAAAATTGCACAGTTATCAGCAAAATAATATGATATATTAACTGCATACATACATACATACTGTATACACACTGAAATAATAAGCCGCAGGTGATACACAAATCCTCCTACATACGTTTTACATGTTTATCTGCGGCCCTCTCTTTTCACACAGATCAAAGGCTATTTCTCAACTCCAACAGTTAGGGGGTGGGGACCTGACATCACAGACTGCGCAGCATAAGCAGGGGGCTGAGTTTAATCTGAGACCTGAGTGGATACCCCCCCCCCCTCCACAGTCTCATAGGGAGACATGCACAGCTGAGGCTGTCAATCACCTTCTTTGTGTTGAGTGGGTAGGACCATATCCAAGATTCTGTGGTGTCAGGATAACAAGTCGTTTCTGCTGTGGCACCTACATTGATGGGAAGTTGCATGGAAACAGTACGTTATAGCTAAAAGAAACATTTCAGTGAAGACACATCTTCCTTTCTGTAAAAAGGAAGAAAAAAGTTTTGTGCCCAAAGGAATATTGTAATGCAAAAAACAACTATGCGTATAAAATGTGAATGGTAAAATACATAAAAAGTATGACCAGCAGGATAACAGATGTGTAGTTTGCTGTACAAAAGTGTATGATAGTCTTTCAGATAAGCAACTTTCTTTCAGCTGCATTTTTTGTTTATTGTATTTCTCAATCATTGTTTTAGAACTACAATAAACACTGCAATTATAGATTTACAGGTGTTAGCTAATGCTGAACTCAAGTGGTTGAATTGCTTCAGAATCTTCATAGGGGCTAATGGACTGCAGAATGCAACAGCTGCCATTCCTGATTAATACATTCATCATCAATGAGGATTCCGTACTTCCAAAATACCAGCAACATTATTTTTTCTTTTTAGGATTCAATAAACTGAAAAGGCTGTTCTATGATACAGTTTTTACACCACAATATAATTTTATGTGTTCATTTCAGAATTTATAGGATGGAAATGATCTGATTACAGTACCAATTTAATGAGCAGAGATAAGAAGACTTTGCAAGATCAAATGCTACATTAATTTAACTGGTATTAATGAAGCAAAAACAAAGCCATAAAATACAACCAAAAGACATAAAGAAAAATTTTCTGAACTTCCTATAGTTACCTATACACTATATTAAAATGTTATATAAAATAAAATCAATTCTTTTAAATGTAGTCAGTGGAAGAAAAGCTTCAAAGATGTACCTATCCTGTTCTTTTTGAAATTAAAATAAAGGGAGCCCATCCTAAAGCCAATTACCAATTTAAGAAATTTCAGATGTAAGCAAATGTTTCCCATATTTCAGTCTCATACTAGTTCCGGGGTAGTTGAGTTACCCATTTAACTTTACTTCACCTGGGAGTCTGAAAGGGTCTTTGCAGTCAAATGCTTCTTGCAGATGTAAAACAGATTTACTTTAATACCCGCTTTATGCTAAACATATATTTTTAAGTTTATGTAATAATATCCGTAAATGAAATTAGAACATGAATAACTTTAAAGAGATTACAACATACTGGATAATAGAGGTAGCTGAGCAAAATGAAAAAAATCCAGTATATAGCTGAAATGCTGTCTAATAATAAACAAACTTTTCTAGTTGATAATTATAATTTAATGCTTAGGTATGAGAACATATACGTGTATAAATGGGAATGTTATTCTACCTATTCTACATAATGTTTATAGTGCATTTTTTGTTTTGTATAGGGTTTTTGGTGAAATTGACTGTATGATTAAAAAAACACGACATACACAAGGTAGTGATTGCCAGGGTTCTCCCGCTATTGAGTTTTTCTCCTTGGAAACATGGACCAAGCTGATATGTTATAGTTATGTTGTATTATTGTGTGCATTTAGGAATGTACTGTATATTAGGTCAGTGGAATCAACATACTCTAAACGTGGATATCTGCTTACTCAGCTAGAGTATTCTGGATGTGACAGGATGATCGTTTCCATTAGACCTGTACTTATATGTCAATGTTTTTATATTGTGAGAAGATTTCCTATAAATAAAGAATTAAAAAAGAATGACATAAAAATGTATTTTTCTAGGGATTTCAGCAGAAAAAAACAAAACAAAAGGTTAATGCTATAGGGTATGTTTGAATCAGCCATGTCTTTTGTATCATTATTGTATATTATTTTGTATTTGTTATATGTTTCCTTATATACTTGATTTTTTCCTACTTTTTATTATTGAAAATATATAAGCCTAAATACCATCATTTTTCAACAACTTCTGTATATTGAGAGATTTTAACCTCATACAATGTTTCACAATACACAGTTACAAGAAATTATCTGCAGCTATATTTCCACATATGTAGCTGTGCATTTTGACAAAGAAGTATGTTCAGATGTATAAACACAGACTATTTTTGGCTATGCAGACAGAAGGAACAAAAAAGGAATACATGAAAAGAATCAAACAAAGATCTATATCACAGGACATATCACCAGCTGGAAAATGTTGTCCAATTTTCTGTTGCTCTCAGCTGGTAATGCAGAGATGAAATAGATATTCTGTACTCAATTCAAGATATGTAACCACTCAGTATGCCTTTAGTGCTGCATACAATATGGCCATTCATTGACCCAGTCCCCCATCAATAAACTGGTAATAGGATTCCCTGAACCCCCTTGCCAGTTCACAAACATTCCTATAAAGCTTGAGCTTTTATGTCCAGGAGCAAAGCCTTTCCTCTAAAGCCCTGAAAAGGGTTCCTTGAAAAAAGATTAGCACTAAATAAATAGCAGGGCTTGTCTGTCTACCATGATGTCAGAAATAACAGTGTAAGAAAGACTTTGGATTCCCGTTTCAAATTCAAAAATATTTTCCACTAAATTTAATAATTTTGGGTAAAGCATATTTACTGCTAATGATAAAAGGGAAACATATTCTTTGTTTCTTTGAGATGACTCAGGACAGTTTGACATCTTGGCTGTAACACAACATTTCAGTGCTATGTAGTTTTGGAAAATATGTACAGTAACTCAGGCATACAGATGGAGTTAAGCACCCCAAGACAACCATGTCAAAGCTGAGGTTTCCAGGGAGCATGGGCATTGGGCATAACATGGGGAATTTACTTCTCTTTTGAAATATTTGTCTCCCACAATGGACATCACTCAAAATAACCCTATTCTGTTTACAAAAAAGAAGCCGAAACA